TCTCGGACTAAATCTAAAATATCTTAAACTGTGTTCTGAAGATGAACGGAGGTCTGACGGGCTTGGAGCGACACGAGGGAGAGTCATTAATGACATCATTTTAATTTTTGGGTGAACTAACCCTTTAAACTACTCAGACGTCTAAATGTCTTTGTTTTAAAACGTTGCATGAAGGTGTGAGAGACCCCAGCGATGGCTCTGAGTCTGAAGACGGACTCTCTCAGAGAACAGGTGTGCAACATTCAACTCAACCAACCTGCAGAAAACACTTCTACACGACTGCCTCGCATCACAGCGGAAACACTCACTCGCTCCTCGGGTCAGCCGTGGGTTCAGCTGGCGTACAAGCATTTCATAACGTAGAATAAACCATGCTAACGGGGAAATGAGTAGCAGAAGAACAAACTCTGGTCTGATGATGAATGAAGTGCCTTTAAGCTTAAATAACCGTCACGGTTTTACTGTTTAAATACTCGTGAGAATCAGAAAAATTCTGATATCTTTGGGGAATTTACTCTTCTTCTTTTTTTATGTCATCATTAGCCTACAATATTTAGAGCATAAGCATATTTTATTCATGTTACCAGCAGGACTCAGTTGTTTAAAAAAAATAAAAGGACATGAAATTACATGTATAGGCAAAAGCAAAACCAATGATTTTATGTCATTCACCAATTAATTTTTAGGTTTAAGGATTTTTTAAAAACAACTGTTATGAAAAATATAACGTAATGATCAATTGATATACCATTTAATTTATGCAATATGTGGGGAAAATGGCCATAAATGAGCTTTTCCATTCAATACAACTGTAAACTGCATTTTATTTGCATACTAATGTGTTCTTGGGGCAACATGTAATGAAAAAAAGAAGCGTATAGGAGTAACAATCGACAACACTTTCATAATATTTCATAGGAATATTGATATTTATCTCCCTATTCACATGTTGTGTCTTCCAGAATGCCTGATCAACATGATTTTAGTCCTGGCGTCTCTACAGTGGACATGATGCATGAAATCAATGCCCGGTTTCATAACAGTCATATTTTGATTAGAAACCCCATTTTCCTGAGATGTTGATTTGAAAATTAGTCAGATTTAAATAATTACAAAATATCATATTTCCATAAGATTGCTAAATCTGATCACTAAATGAATATCAGTCGTTTTAAAGACTAAGGAGAAGTTGTTCTCATGGTGAAACCTCCAAAACATTTCTAACTCTGAAAAGCTGTGACACATGACACGAAAAATACCCATGGTTTTATTATAAAAGTGTAGTAAAGTTTTATGGTGGATTGATTACCACTTGTTTAACAACAGTTTTACTACAAATAGGCTACCATATGGTTAGTGTAGCAAAACCATGGTTAATTTGCGGTGACCATGTTTTAACTATAGTAACCAAGTTTTTTTTCATTTATTTGTAGTAAAACCATGGTTAATTTTCGTAAGGGTCAGAGAAATTCACTCAAATATAATGTCACTACAGTGGACAAAAGTCTATTGGATAGGCTACTATAGGATATTAGATGCAGAACAACATCCACTCATATTCAAACCTTCAACACTTTATGCGACAACTACCACAAATCTGTTCTAGTCCAGCTCGGTTGCGTGAACGTGACAGTGTCTCAAAGCAGCTTTGATGAAAAATTCAGCATCTATTCGCTCTTATGTCAGAGAAAGCAGCGATCAATTATTCACAGACGGACTGTCGCACCGTGTCTGAGGGTTCGCGGCACGGACAGGTGACACGCGGGCCCGAACCGAGCACACATGAAGCACCTTTTATTCTTTATTCGGTGTCACGTCGTGATTTGATTTTATGACTTTATACACTGTTTAGACACGGGCGCGCGCGTGCGCCGATTCCCAATTACAATCGTCACGCGCAAAAACTGATACTCGCGATTGACAGCTCGAAGAAATGCGGACGAGGCGTTGCAATTAAAAACACGACAGCAGAATTGCTATATATATATATCCCTTACGTTTGAACCGAATGGAACCGGTGATGTCATGAATGTACTGACCTAACGAATGGGAACGCGCGTTGGATTCGTGCGTCCATTACCTGATACTCTCCAGATTCGGGTAGAAAAGCCGTTATAAATCATCAGTGGTGTGTGTGTGTGTGTGTGCGTGTAACGCATATGCCGTTCGTTACCTCGTCCTGCGGATTCGGTCTCTGGCTTTGCTGCTCTTTAGTGGCCGTCATGATTTGCTTTCCTTTTCAGATGCCGCTGAGAAATGCCCAAAATACCCAAACTGGCGATTCCAGCACTGCAGAATCGTGATCTCGAATCGCTCCTCCGTGTGGTTTTCGTCCGTGGAGGAGGAGCGCGCGCGGCGCGTTTGGCATTACACCGCAACCGGAACGCGTGATCGATCGTTGCGAACGATGTGTGTATCTGATTCTGAGCTCGAGCGAACTTAAACTGACGGGATAATAACGGATGCAAATCCGGAAGGCGAGAGCAGCGCGCGCACTGATGCTGAGGAGGGAGGGAGGAGGAGGAGGAGGAGGAGGGGGGGGGGGGGGGGGGGTAGCCTTGATGACGCGAAACCACAGACAGACAGCACCTTGAACAGCACGAGAGCTCAAGGATATCGCATGCATCAATGCAATTCAAGTAATTGCATTAATGCATTCTGCGACGAGCATCAATTCCAGCATCGAAACTGTGAACCTGCAGTCAAAACCTGAAGAGCATCAATGTCAACTTGTTTTCTACCAAGCGCGACCTCAAATGACTTCTGAATGACATCCAACACAGAATTACGTAAAAGAGGAAAAACATTTGCTCATCGTTTAATTTATTTGTGAATACCATTTAAGATGAATAACTATGTGACTTTGTGTAACTCTTCTTTAAAAAAAAAAAAAAGTGCTGACATCTTTCGCTTAATCTGCTTAAATTGATATAAAGCTAAATTGATATACACAGCTTTTCTTTTCTTAAATCAGGACAGGACTATATTTGTTTCTACAAACAAATACATTCCTGACAAAAAATTCAGTAAGTGTCAATGCACTTAAATTTAAAATCATTCAAGTGAACAGCTTCGATCCCTCTTTTGAAGCGTTGAAATGTGTGCTGGATAAATTCTGCATCCATTACAGTTTAACATGTAAAGTAACTATATTAAATGTTTTTTTCTTTCGTGAATTCTCCATATGGTTGGCTTTTTCCATGAACAGTCCACTCATTTTAAACACGTTACTAAACAGTGCCCAAATAATTGTTGATAAACCTCTAAATGAAGAAAGAGCGATTAAAAACAGGAATTACTTGGATAGATTGGACCACAAATTCACTCTAGATAAAAAAAAAAGACTTAAAAATTGCAATTAATAACTTTTCCACAGTAGAAAGGATCCAACCAAAAGACATCAGATGCAAACAGGAGGAAAAGTCCATAACTTTCCAGAAAAGGCAACACATTAACATTAACTAACCAGATCTCACTGCTCACAGTAACTATCAGTAACTAATAATAAGTGGTAGTGGCGTAGCTGTCAATGGAGAGACAGAAATCTCTCAGATTTCATCAAAAATAAATATTTTAAATTGTGTTCCGAAGATAACGAACGTTTTGTTTGGAACGACATGAGGGCGAGTAATTACTGACAGAATTTTCATTTTTGGGTGAAATGTTTTAATAAATGTCCTGGAAAAAAGGCAGGTCAGATGCCAAACAGAGCAATTAATATACGAACCGGACGACTGCAGCGTTTGAGGAATAACATGTCGGAGAAGAAGCAGGATTACAACAGGAGCAGGAAGTTGCACATTGACTATCATATATGGGAACAACAGTTGCGATCACATCATCGATTCAATATTTCCAAAAACTCACAAATCGATGGCTTGAATCACTGAAGGATGCATCTCTGACGTGCGTTACAGTTCTTGAAACAAATCAACACTGAACTGACTTCAGCTGAATAATGACACTCGTTTTTTTAGAGCTGCTTTACAGCAGAATTGAATTCTGTGCATCAATGATCATTATTTTCCTGTTTATCCCTGTGAAGCTGCTTTGAATCTGTATTGCGCTACAAAAATAAAGGGGATTTGATTGACATGCTGTCGGCTCACAAAGAACAGAACTGTTTGTGCAAATGACTAAATAAAACAGAACAAACATTTACACAAACAGCGGGTGTCTCTGGGTGGATCTGAATGTTGTAGTTTTGCTTTAAGCTGTGTAATGCTATAAATTTATACTCTCAGATACAGTATGAAAGTTGTTTATGTGCAGTTGTTATGTAAGTGGTGTTATGTTGTTAGCTTTTTTCAACACAAATCCATTTTCCGTTCTTGTTATAAAAGCAGAGGAGCAAGTCGATTTTCTGTCTTCAAGTCTTGATTGTGTTTTTGGGCTCTACAAGAACAGGTTTTCGTACTTGAATGAATGTTGATTATTTTCCCCATATTCTCTATTGTTGCAGCTCCTCTCTTACCAGTCGCGTCTCCACCGCATGAATGCAGGAACTAGGGACGTGAGGTGTACTTTTTTTTAAGTTCAGGAACTTTTGGGGGTGGGACTTGGGCTCTGAACATGCTGCTGATTGGTTGAGTTCATGCCGGATTTTGATTGGTTGACTCCACGCAGCATTTCAATTCAACCACCATTTTTTAAAAATCTTTGCGGTTCGAGGAGATGGTCCTCACTGCAGAACACGAAATCCAGGGGGAGGAGTTGGATCCAGCTGACCACCCCCTGATCCCTAACCCCACCCCTAATCCTACCCATCTCCGCCCCCTGATCCCTAACCCCACCCCTAATCCTACCCATCTCCACCCCCTGATCCCTAACCCCACCCATAATCCTACCCATCTCCACCCCTGATCCCTTAACCCACCCCTAATTCTACCCATCTCCCCCCCCTGATCCCTAACCCCACCCCTAATCCTACCCATCTCCACCCCCTGATCCCTAACCCCACCCCTAATCCTACCCATCTCCACCCCCTGATCCCTAACCCCACCCATAATCCTACCCATCTCCGCCCCCTGATCCCTTACCCCACCCATAATCCTACCCATCTCCACCCCTGATCCCTAACCCCACCCCTAATCCTACCCATCTCCACCCCCTGATCCCACCCATCTCCACACCCTGATCCCTAACCCCACCCCTAATCCTACCCATCTCCACCCCCTGATCCCACCCATCTCCACACCCTGATCCCTAACCCCACCCATCTCCGCCCCCTGATCCCTAACCCCACCCCTAATCCTACCCATCTCCCCCCCTGATCCCTAACCCCACCCCTAATTAGAGTTCTCAACGGGTCGGGTCGGCCCGACAAACCCGACGGGACCCGCGGGTTCGGGCCGGGTTCGGGTCGAAAATATTTGCAAATGACTCGGGTCGGGTCGGACCTCGGGCTTAATCTTTTGAATTGTACAGTGAAAGAAAAAAAAAACATTTATTATTCATCGCTGCTGTTCACTGTAAAGAAAGTCTGGCTGCTGCGTGCAACGTGCATCGCGACGCGAGGGCAGACCTGACGCCGCTGCGTGCACGCCTTTAGCCCGGAGAAGAAGATGGAGTTGGTGAAAAGTAAACTTGCTGTAGGTGAAATCACCGTTGCTCAGGGGCGGCGCGACACGTTGTGTGATTATCTCGGCAGTTTAGGACATCACACAAGATTTGCGTCAATACAGAAAACATTTAATCACTGGATAGTTTTTTTCGTTTATTGAAATGTGGTTTATGTCAGCTGGATGGGCGGAATGTGTGAGACGTGAGAGTGCGCGCGCGCTCTCTCTCTCTCTCTCTCTCTCTCTCTCTGCGTCAAGCGCAGCAGTCATAGAATACATTCTATTCTACATACATCACTCACCGATCAAGAGGGTGGCGTCGGGCCGCGGGTCGGGTTCGGGCAGATAATTCATGTTGATGTGTCGGGTTACATCGGGTCCGGGCTTTAAAAGCCACGGGCCGGGTCGGGTCGGGTCGGGTCGGGTTGTAATTTTCAGGCCTGTTGAGAACTCTATCCCTAATTCTACCCATCTCCCCCCCCTGATCCCTAACCCCACCCCTAATCCTACCCATCTCCGCCCCCTGATCCCTAACCCCACCCCTAAACCTACCCATCCCCGCCCCCCGCCCCCTGATCCCTAACCCCACCCCTAATCCTACCCATCTCCGCCCCCTGATCCCTAACCCCACCCCTAAACCTACCCATCCCCGCCCCCTGATCCCTAACCCCACCACTAATCCTACCCATCTCCGCCCCCTGATCCCTTACCCCACCCCTAATCCTACCCATCTCCGCCCCCTGATCCCTTACCCCACCCCTAATCCTACCCATCTCCGCCCCCTGATCCCTAACCCGACCCCTAATCCTACCCATCTCCACCCCCTGATCCCTAACCCCACCCTTAATCCAACCCATCTCCACCCCCTGATCCCTAACCCCACCCCTAATCCTACCCATCTCCACCCCCTGATCCCTAACCCCACCCCTAATCCTACCCATCTCCGCCCCCTGATCCCTAACCCCACCCCTAATCCTACCCATCTCCACCCCCTGATCCCACCCATCTCCACACCCTGATCCCTAACCCCACCCATCTCCGCCCCCTGATCCCTAACCCCACCCCTAATCCTACCCATCTCCCCCCCTGATCCCTAACCCCACCCCTAATTAGAGTTCTCAACGGGTCGGGTCGGCCCGACAAACCCGACGGGACCCGCGGGTTCGGGCCGGGTTCGGGTCGAAAATATTTGCAAATGACTCGGGTCGGGTCGGACCTCGGGCTTAATCTTTTGAATTGTACAGTGAAAGAAAAAAAAAACATTTATTATTCATCGCTGCTGTTCACTGTAAAGAAAGTCTGGCTGCTGCGTGCAACGTGCATCGCGACGCGAGGGCAGACCTGACGCCGCTGCGTGCACGCCTTTAGCCCGGAGAAGAAGATGGAGTTGGTGAAAAGTAAACTTGCTGTAGGTGAAATCACCGTTGCTCAGGGGCGGCGCGACACGTTGTGTGATTATCTCGGCAGTTTAGGACATCACACAAGATTTGCGTCAATACAGAAAACATTTAATCACTGGATAGTTTTTTTCGTTTATTGAAATGTGGTTTATGTCAGCTGGATGGGCGGAATGTGTGAGACGTGAGAGTGCGCGCGCGCGGCCGGGGCTCTCTCTCTCTCTCTCTCTCTCTCTCTCTCTCTCTCTGCGTCAAGCGCAGCAGTCATAGAATACATTCTATTCAACATACATCACTCACCGATCAAAAGGGTGGCGTCGGGCCGCGGGTAGGGTTCGGGCAGATAATTCATGTTGATGTGTCGGGTTACATCGGGTCCGGGCTTTAAAAGCCACGGGCCGGGTCGGGTCGGGTCGGGTCGGGTTGTAATTTTCAGGCCTGTTGAGAACTCTATCCCTAATTCTACCCATCTCCCCCCCCTGATCCCTAACCCCACCCCTAATCCTACCCATCTCCGCCCCCTGATCCCTAACCCCACCCCT